GAACCAGTTTGTCACAGTAACCAGTCGCTGTAGAACAACTAAGCCATCTGAACCATAACGCTGAAAAGTGGGAGGTGGGTAGAAGCCACCACCCCAAGAGGCTTCAAGGAAAACGATCAGTATCGAGGGGCGTCCATGTATTGTGGACGGCATGGGAACATAAGCACCCAAGTACCGTGTCCAAACGAAACAGTTTAATGGCGGAACCAGCTTCTCCTGGAAACGGATTTCTGTACATACCAACCATTGAGTAGACACAGATTCGGTTAACGGAATGACTCAGGGATTGCATACCCCTTATTGGGTTACATGTCGAATCCCAAGCCTTCAACCACGTGCAAGAAGGATCCCAGTCAGTCAGGTGTACCTCTTCTGACAGAGAACAACCACTTCGCATCAATGTGGAACAAAGCATCAATCGTGAAAATTCCTCCAAAAGAGACGTGTGGTGAAGCACCACACGGCAGATGATTCGGCGTAGCGCGTTCTCCAGAAAGACTAGACTCTTCAGTCCCATTTTTGGGTTTCGTATGACCTAGTGGTATCACTAACTTCAGACCTAATTCGATTAAACCCTGCATCTTCCCAAAAGTGGTCTACTTCATTCTAATTTTTTTGAGGGGGCTAAGGAGATCGCGGGCATTTCCTCAAAACAGCTGGCAAGATTCTGGTAGTTCCAGGGTTAAGTTTATTTACTACTCTACCGAGATTGGTTCACTAACTTTAGGCACCTAGATTTCGAACTCTGTATCACCCAAAGACAATGCGCAGGTGGATCTACAAGACAAGGCTCGAAAGTCGTAAAAGAGAAAGACTACGGCTACTGTTCACATGTGTTGTCTCGATTGACGCAGATTCATGACAAGTGATAGTTTTCGAAACAAATGCAATAATACCACGTCACAGCGCGGCATATGCTTTCGCGAATAGCAAGACCCAAGAAAAATCCAGTGGCAATTCAGATGCCCGGTTAATAGATAGGGTTCATCGGTCAAATGAAGGGGTACTATGACCCAGTGAGTTCACTAAATTACTTTTCGATTAGCTAAACTTCAAAAAATGGCGAGAGCCAGATAGTATAAAAAAAAGTCAAAGCAAGCCATGTTCCATTAAAGCAGAGAACGCAAAACGTTGATGAACCGCCAGGTTGTCCAAAATTAGAGAACATACGAAAAGTCATAGAATCAATGACTTTCGCTCGATAATGCGTATTCTAAACTCTGCGCTTTTTCGAGCAATTAATGCAAGAAATCAATAGCACCAATCAATATCATCAAAATTTGTTGGAAGTTCACTGCCCCAAAAGAGAACTATTGTTTGTTGACTCCAGCAACAATCCCTGTGGTTTAGTGTACATAAATTGCCTACTGAGGGGGCGAGATGACCCTATTGGTTGGAGCGCAAATTTACTAACCGGGGAAACCGTAGTTCGAACCCAAACTCTGCCTCTTGACTTCCCTGTCTAAGCCTGTGCAACCTGGCAGTATCTCAGCCCTTGTGCTTTCCCCAGGCACGTGCATGGCAGCTAGGTACCTAAAGCGTGCTACAGCTAAACGATTTTTAAAAATTAGAATTGTGAATACATCGACGGATTGAAGGACAGATGGAAGGGGCGAACAAGGGTTTGAAAGACGTTGATTTACCCTGGTCTGACTTCCTGGCACAATGAGCTCGATTTGCACGTCATAGGACTGTCTTGAATTGGCCTGCATGGATACGTGACCATTCAAAGCTTGTCCCTGTTGGACGAACAGCGGCGTGCCGAGCAAGCAGCGAACCTACAGAAGGGAGTGAAACACGAAGGTCAAAGCAATGTGAGAAAGTGTAGTATTCTCATGAACAAAAGTAGCTGGCATATCAGGAAGTAGCCTGAGAGAAAAGTTAACCTGCTAGACATTGTTTGAAAATGGTATGCGACCATCAGCCAATGCGTAATAATAACGCATGCCATTCAAACGGCATGCGGTGTTCTCACACATACCTTACGGTGCACAGAGGTGACCAGGTAGAGAATCAATAGAATTGGATCAGGACAAAAGAGTTATCGTGTAGAAAGGAAACCATGCTAAGTAGAAGATACGTATTTCACCCAAACTTTCGAACCATTAGGCCCAAATCCGTCACAGGCGTGAGTCATAACGATCATAAGAGAAAACTAGAAACAGGACTAGATGACCTTCCAGTGTAAGGAGTGAAAGCTTACATACTCGGTAGTTCACTCGCCTCTAGTCGTGCTCAGTCTGCGTATGTACCTACCTGATACCAGTGGGTCAGTGGTTCGGTTGGGGAGGTCGACAGCCACACTTCCTGTTGAGATCCGAGGAAACCAACGTCAAACCAGAAAGCTAGACCATGGATCTAACGGAAAGAACACGGTGGTATGCTGATTAGATGATGTGAAAATTTTCTATTGAAAAAAGTGCATACAAACCACCATCTTACCAACATTCAAGCACATGCCAAGCGGCTCTTAAAGGGTTAAGCTTCGTAGTACAACGGCTCGAAATCCACCTATCAATGACAACCTTGTTAACACAGTGAAGAGGAAGTATGAAACACCAAAATTAACACTTGAGAGTTGGGAAAAGCGAATCAATGGTCATCAAACTAAGGCCCAGCCCACATGGGATCGAATTTGAAACCATTTTTCCTTGCTTTCAAAAAACAGAGAACCCGTCGAAGGAAAATTGATCAATTCTGAACACGTAACCAGCATACGGGGGTTTATTGTTTCCAAACGACTTTGATTGTAGCATAAAAGTAAACAGTTGGCATAGATGACCTACCATAATGTCCATCTACAGTAGATCTTTTGCGCTGCTGGTGATTGTGTGCGCTAGATAATTTGTATCACAGGATAAGGGCTAGTTGAAAGGACAGTGCACAGCAAGGATGGCACACGAACAGCGTCATGAAAGAGACATTGTATTCGAAAGTGTCAGACGTTTAGAGACATCAAAGTGTTGCAAACAGTGTCGGAAATAGCCGAACTGGCCGTTAAATTCCGGTGGCAGAATAGTACCAAAAAACTTCTCGAATACGGACATTCATCCTAGCGTCAATTCTGAATGTAATATTAAATGTGAAAAACAAAACCCGGGGAAAGGCACAGTCTGACAGGTGAACCTCAACTGAAACCGATCACGGTCGGTAGAGAAGGCAGCCCTCCGTCATTGGCGATTCACGGTGTTCCATGTCTATAATGTTTCATTGCGGTGAACTACATCCAAAACTGCACAACCCCTGAATTTTCCTGAAAAGTGTGATTCTGATTTCTGCGCAATTCAGTTCAATTCAATTCTGCTACAAATCAGGTCCTGAATGTACTAACTCGGAAGTCAAGCCGATACGCTTCTCAGGAGAAATCAAAGCCGTCTGCTTTCGCCAAGTGTTTTTTCTGGTGTTGATCACCTACCACTTGAAGATGAAACCTCAAACATCAGTATGAAATCAGTGTTCAAAACTTATGATTAGCTGCCATACAACCATGATTTATTTGAAAGCCTAAGACTATCATTCTATGGTGCCTACAACTCCAGACACTCAGACAGACAATCTGGATATAAACTGACAACAAGAGCGCCGTTGACATCAACTAAGAGTCGTATCTTGCAGCGCTTCCAATCCGCAACAGTGGGAATCTTTCGGTTCCCATCCTGGAAGGCGAACCGCACTAACACCTGCCAGACTTTTCGTCATCTCCTTCATAACCCTCCGGGTCAAGGGTTGGACACCTCTCTGAATTGGGTACGGAAAGCAGCAGTCCATTTTCGGCAAAGGATGGTTCGGCATGTGCAATTCATAGACTAACCAACGCGGCTTCTGGTGTTGAACACAATCTTCGATAGAAGTCCCCGCTGCACCACCGAACACTCGCTTCCTAACTGTCTCATTGCGGATTTGCCAACACCAACCAACACTTCAGGCAATAGAATTAGCGACTGCCAATTGGTATGGCATCATATCGCTAGAGGGAAACTGTCACTGAATGAGGAACCACCGGAAGTTGACAATGCTGCGCATTTCATTATTAAATCCTGACAGGAAATTCCGAGGCACAACCACCAACGCACCGCTATGCACCACTACGCTCCCTAACAACGCACGGATAGTGCCACCTCAATTGGTTATGAAACGTTTGCAATCCAATTGCCCAGCTCAGCAAACAAGCCAACAACCATCTACACTACCTGAACTAGCAACATTTCCCTCTACAGAATTCAGAAATGCTCTTTTTCACGTGAAAACAGTGCATTAGTTACCAAGAAAATTCCTGAACTTGATAAAACGAAGCAGGATATATGCCTGTTTTTGCATCCTTCCAAACACAGTGTCCAAGACGTTGCAGTTGAACAACGGTCAGAATTTACTGGGTTGCACTCCAATGGACTAGAACATTGTGGAATTTGTTGACGTTTGCCAGACGAATAATTCAGACAGAAATTGGCCTGCAAACTAGTTACGAAAAACTCTAGGAATGATGTGATGTATCTTTACAGTGGGACAGATGCATGCAAGCTGTTTGGTGTCATAATATTTGAGGCTCACGGTAGGAGTAACGCGATCAAACGAAAATTTTCACTGAAGAAGTTGGTTCACGTAGGCACGCTATGGGTAGGTTTCACTGTATGTGTTAGTGAGTGAAGCATAAGTGTCGTCTTAATACAAGTTACAGGTCACCATCCGGTTTGCTAAACCATGTCGAAAGAGTAAAGTTGTTCACGGTATAATTGCAGAATCCACGATTATCTCAACAGAATGAGGGTAACATGGCACCGAATACTAGTACACAGCTGAGAGTGCCGGTAAAGTGCAAAAGATCAGCTGAGCGTTGCAAAATAAGACCATAAAGTACAGGGCGCATCAACGAGTCTATCAAAATCTCATTAATAAGGAGGAGCAAGTGAAGTTTAGAAAACGGTACGCAATACCGATAGTATTTTTACCTACACGAGAAAAGCCTAAATGAGGTGAAACAGATGAGCAAATCTCAGCAAACGTAAATTCTGCCTCATTCTAATTTCCTTGTACTGTGGAACGCGTGAGCTGGGTGCTAACATTCATTGGCCGCTCAGCTGCAGCACCCTTTCCGTGGCCGGAAGGAAGCACGACGGCTGGGATAGTGCCAGGTTGCCCAAATCTAGACAGGGGAAGTCGAGGCAGAGGTCGGGTTCGAAACACGAACTTTCCGGTCATTAAATTAGCGCTCTAAGCGCTGAGCCATCTCGCCCACATCTAGTGACCAAACCACGACACTACCATTAACTTTCATCTTCTGTCGAGAAGTAGCAATTTTTGATGTCCCATCGGGGAGCGAGATGGCTCAAGTGGTTAGAGCGCTAATTTACTGACCGGAAGTTCCGTGGTTCGAACCCGACCTCCGCCTCTCGACTTCCCCTGTCTAGGCTTGGGCAACCTGACAGTATCTCTGCCCTCATGCTTCCTTCGGGTGGCATGGAAGCTAGGCACTGAAAGGGTGTTACAACTGAATGATTATTGTCAGTGGCAGATATCGTTAGTGAATAAACCAAAAGTTGGCAGTAGATTTTTCACTGAGAGTATCTGGAGAGTAAGCCATGGGCTGACGGCTATGCTTCCTTCGATGTCCCATCACTCGACTTTTCAACCATATAGTAGTATTTGTTCCTCAAGCCAACCAAGTTGCTCATCTGCGTTATGTAGTGAGCCTATTCACCAACTTACACCGCCTAAAGCTCCCGGCTAGGAGATTCTCCAACACTGTTCGTTAGGATTTCAACTCGACAATAAATGATAAATGACGCGGTAATTCAAGTTTGTACAACCCTCAATCTAGGACAGGTTTTTTCTAAACATCTGGTGCTTTAGTGCGTTAACGTCGCTGGTTAGTCTGCAAGGTCCCAACACGTAAATCACACAGATCGTAAGTCAAGCGAGATTATCTTACATCATTAGTAAAGGTGAACAGGTTACATAAACTTTGTTGGAGTGGAGTTTCAAATCAGTGGCTCCGATAAGATTAATCTTCAGGAACAATGAACAGCGCGAAACAAGAGGCGCAGAATGACCAAAAAGGAGGCAAAATGCTTCCACAAAATCCTGATAACCACAACAGCGAAATCCAAAATAGAAGCGGACAAGGGATCATTGAAGCGTCATACTAGAAGCTCTTCACAGCCGGTTTCCTTTTTGTCCTTACAGTCGTAGATTTTTTGCCCTTTGCCAAACTGATAATCACAATTTTGAATCATCAGTGTGAATTGTTCCTACTGCTGTCTTCAGATGTGTGGGTTTTGTCTAATTTCATCTTTTGGAGTTATGAAACGTGATTCAGTACTACTGTGCTACAGAAGGCGCACAGAAAGTGTTTGCATCCAGCTGAAAGTGAGCTGGAAGTACCATAACCGTTCCTAACCAAGGTCACTTTAACCTACCCAAGTCAGAGAGGATAGCCTGATTTGACAGCACAAACTAGTTAAACCCTGTCCCGTGATGCAGTTTTGCGCATCTTGTGGGTAAACTTAGGGTGTAAGCTCACAGTCGTTCCGCCTTTGGACGGTACTGGATAGGAAAGGGTGCTAATATACACTGTGAATGTCGCCCGAACAAAAGCACACACCCTGGCTTTTCAACAATGAGATAAGGAAAATGGACCGAGTGAATCCTTCACAGGTGTGAACGTCCACTAGATTTACATTCAGACAGAAAATGTAGGATAACCGGAAACCAACGAACATTTCATGACAGAATCCAGTATTCGTTTAATTCGACATGATACGATATGCATAATTCTCACTGACGTTCACAGTCTATTTGCGTCGACCAAAGAAAGACTATATCTTTAATGTGAACTGACGTTTAATAACCAGCAAATTTATCGAATTAGTCCAAGAAGAAACAACCTTGGACAAAAGAGTTGGACACTCAGAAAGCGGTTTGTTATGCGGCTGAAATGAAACCAACACAAAGTCATGCCAAACTTTAACTCATGGTCTGAATGTATATTTATGACTTTTTGAAGCCGAGAGGCGATTGACTTCCTTGTGTCAAGCCACCTTTCAGTATGTGAGTAGCAAATGTTGATCACCATCCACAGCACTGTGCGTGATGTTTGCAGTACCTGGATGATAAGATAATAAACGAGGGCGAGCGGACGTGGTACAGACACACAACATTACCGTGTTATGACTCTGTAAATCTGCAATCGAATTCGGTCATGATAATGGGCAGATCAAGCTCACTCCACTCAACAGCAAAAGTATCCTGTTACTCGGTCTTTCAAACAGTTTTCAGAGTAGGTATGGTATGAGCAGTTATAGCTCCCCTGGCGCTTGGGTGAAGAAAATCACTACGGAAGCAAGCGGCCTTGCTCCCATAATGCGATATTTAAAGCTCCCAAACGCATACTAGCGAACTACGATAAGCACAATAAGTGTTTGTCAAGCGCATTCGTTATTCAAGTCATACTGACATACTTGTTTTCTGCCGAGCCAACTTGGAATAAAAACAATTAAGTAGGACAGAGATTATGCCGCAACCATTGCTGGTTTGCCCCCTGGAGCATGCACTGAGTTTTAGGACTATGGAAACACTAGGTTGCAGCCTGAAACTTGGGGTGGATTGTGAGACATTTAAGTTCCACCTAGGCGAAGAAAATCATCTGTCACGTCAACCAGTTACATGTCTTTCAAATACAGCAGACGCCTCTTGGACAACAGATTCCAAGCCTAGTTTGCGTGAGTGTGGGCAATTTCGACCAGGAAACATGAGCGTGTCCGGAGGCCAGCCGTCCCTACTAACCGAACAGCACATCACTTGGACGGATGTGTCACGTGCAGGACACGGATCAAACGAAGGCAGGCCCTGATTGGTCAGAATGCAAGCCAATCCGAGTCAAGCACTTGTGACTCGACGCTTCTCGCCCCCTCACGGATATTCCAGCACAACCTTGTGGAACACACTGTGACTACCCTATGAATACAGTTGTACTAATTTTCCTTTGTCTTCATAAAGGGCTGTGTAGAACTACCGTGTCTTTTTGGTATACCACAGTGGGCGCTGCAGGAGGCCAAGGGACCGATAGAGAGTTGCGCGATCGTTAACAAGTCACAACAGCGTGCATAGTTGATGAATATAATTCAGTATTTCACTCCTTCGGATCCTATTCCCACTTGCCCCATCAACGATGGCAGGATTAAAACTGACAACGCCATTAAGTTCATTTGACTGTTTGATACATGGAGCGAAAATTGTCCAGGCTAGACTTTCACTCTGACGCGACGGCTATCAGGATCGGACATAGACGTAATACTCGGTCCTAAGTGAATCCTTTAGACAGGATACATCTCGGCAGAATTCGTTTTTCCTCAGTATGGAATTGCTTACTTTGTCAACTGACACTGAATCAGAATGAGTTCGACAACCGTAATATTTATTGGGATTTTCAATCCGACTCCAACCCCCACGCCAAAAACAGCATTGTGTCAAGCTTATGGAGTTAAATGTAAAGAAACGAGCCCATTTTAGGCAAATGAAGACCTAGTCGCGCGTTTCGGAAGCAATACCTGTCAACGTTAAGATCAGGAAAAACGTGGGCTTAACCAGCAATCGGCAAAGGATAGAGCAGTGGTCAGAACGGTGAAACAACTCCACTTTTGTAGGCTGGGATCCTGGGTGGATGCATAAACAATCTGAATAATAGCGCTTGTATAAACTATCAGTGCTGAGGAAAACAAGACTGACCAGTCTGGAGTTTGAGTTTGCCAAACTTAACTTTGGGAATCGGAATACAGTGTGTAGCAAACAATGTAGATAGGCTCCCACATAGTTCATCGAAACATGCACATGTAGCTCGGGACCAGAAATGTCAACGCTGGGCCAGTGTGCATCACGTGTGGGCAGAAAAAAGTGATACGCGTGTGCAAAATGTCAAGCTTTGGTGCTTTTCACAAAGACCCAACAGCAATTCTCAGACTGAATATTTCGGTAATAGACCGGACTAGGAACAAAGGTGCACGCCGATTGGAAACATTTCACTGGTTTGTCAGCTGAAAAGTTTAGGCACCGGAATCAAGAACTATGGAACGACAAAATCGGCGTAGAGTACTGACGGGAAGTCATTGGAATCACTTGTTATGAGACTCAAAACGGGATTGAGCCGCGCTCCACAATGAATCTGACGGACTGTGTGTCTGTGCTTTTGTACTCCTGTGCAAAACCCGTCGATCTACTACAGCTCTGGCAACACGCAAATGTGGTAGATGAAGCAGTCAGTTGCACTGTATGTGGGTAATGTGTCATAAACTGAACTGGCACCCGTTTCCGGATTCGCGTGACATCAAACCAGACCAACAGAGAAACTGGCTCAGCATGGTCAAGCCAACTTGCGAGGAGCGCGCTGCGGATCGTCAGATGTAAGCAGCCGCAACCCGAAACACTCATGGAACCAGACGATCTTCTCGTTGCAGCCCAGTAACTGAAGTGATATAACCGGTCGGACTGTTAATGCCCAGTATCGACCAATCCTAACGTTTTACGCTGATGTGAACCCCAGGAAGCAGACCCAGATGGTATTCACGAAGCTATAAGTTTGCCTAACCGCTAGTCCCTGATTGTGAAGCCAGATGAATAAGAGGAAACAGTTAGACTCCACGACGTAAGCAAAGACAGAATCAGGAGACATAACTAGGAACTACCCGTTAGTAGGGTTGGTTATTGTGCGGCCTGAGCTGTATTACGATAACCGCAGGAAGGCACTTTTAGCATTATCAAAGACCTACCTTCGCTTCGGTACAAGTCAAGTGCGGAAAGTCAAAAGCGGTTTTGAATAGACCGGTGGCTTCTACTAGTGATTGATAGAACAAAGATCAAATTGCCGTAGTCCACCACAGTTGATCATCACTTACTGTACTTCGAGCAATAAGATAAGGTTCTCGGCAAGTGGCTACAGAGCCGGCTATAGCCATCACATACTAGCATAAGAATACAGGGCAGGGCAGTCTTGTCACCCAGAAAGCTGACGACCGAAAATAGGAGTATGGCAAACTCATCCATACATGTTCCAAAGAGTGGTTGCTTCATTTTCTTCCGTGGCGTGAGTATGCAAAACCTGTTTGATCTTGAAAGACCATGTACAGGGACCACTAGAACAGACACAGCTATCTGTGGACCAGAGTACGAATGTGAAATTGATTGCCAAAGACTTCACTGGGCGCTTCCCAGCTCAACAGTGCCTGTGGAGGACGAACGATGGAGCGCAGCATGGCTGACGCGAAGTTAGTAGTCTCGGTATCGTGCAGGGTAACGTATCCCTCGTACTAGCCATGTTACCGTAGATATCCCAGAGGACTCAGTGTACCGGTGCAATGAAAGTAGTCCCTTCGAACGGAAGGAATCACTTACCGTGCAGCTGGTTGAAATTTGGAAATGCACTGGAATGTCGATATTGGCAAGCTGCCCTTCCGAAACTGTTCGAAAGTCAACTTTATGTACACAGGGCACTGCAGGACAGAGACCAATATCGAACGTGTCCACCACCGGTTGGCTGAAATATTCTGACATTGCTGCGTTTCTCAGCGCGGTGAGATCCATGCCGTGGAAACACTGACAGAATAGATACGATAGATAGATACGGATAAAAGGCACATTTTCTTGCGGATCAGTGTGTAATGAAAAGAGCATGCGCGACGGTAAGGCCAGAGAGCTCATGGGGGTGTGCACAAGAAGGGGTATATAAAACGAACGGACAACCAAGGTTTGCAAAACACTGCAGATAAAAAGGTTGCTAAACTTGGACCACCCGTCACTCCATACTACAGTATGATTGATTCATGACGTCCTCGGAAAGTTTTCTATACAAGTCTGCCGTGCAACCACAGTTTATTTGAAGATGTATTGTGAAGAAAAGAATAGTGTTAGCCTAGCACAACCATTTCGAGGCACTTATAACTCCGGACACTTGGTTGAACAATCTGAGTAGAAAGTGATATAGATCAACACAGATGTCTTGAAGCGCCTCTAACCAGGAAAAGTGCGAATCAAATGGACATCATTCCGGAAGACTAGTCGTACCGACACCACCCAGACTTTTTGTAATCCCTTTCAGACACCTTTGCTGGACCAAAGCTTGACCACCCCTCTGAACTGGGCACGGAAAGCAGCACTCTTTTCGTCACGCGCAGTACATGACCAAACCACTGCAGGCTTGGCGTTGAAAACATTCTCCTGTGGCATTTCCTGTCGCGCAACCAAACATTTTTTTCCTAAGAGTCTCGTTGCGGATTCGTTCGTACCAGCCTACAAAAGCCACGGTTCTGAGAGAGTGCTTAAAGATGATCTGAAGGAGTCTCAGTTTCGCTGCTCGCGCAAGTCGTTTCACAACCTCATACACGACCATTGAGATCCAGGGATATGCCGCTCATCGTTATAGAAATCTCAAATTAATACACGTGGACCGAGCATTGCAGATTCCTGTATTGGCCTCACACTAGAATCGCAACTAATACAGCTTCCAAGGTAGGTGAAATGTCGTTGGTTGCGAGAATTATAGAAATCACGTTCACATCACTCCCGTTTGAACAGCACTTACTTGTCCCTTTAGTGTGAACTCACCAGAATAATTGAAAGAAGGATGACTGTTCAAACGAGAGTGGTGTGAACATGAACTATTAATAGAACGCTTCACATCTTCGAGTGCCTCTCCTTGGATTGTAAGTGGTGTATTCAGCGACTGCATGTCAAGGAGCGTGGCTTTACACTTAGAGGGTGTAAAGTGCACGCCAAAGGACTGGTCAGTTCATCTGAAAACACCTTTGTCTCCTCTTGGAAAGCGAGAAGAATGTTGTCCACCTATTTCAGATTGACAAGGTCTTCGTTTGCGTTCTGAACACCCGAGTTTTTAAGGCCTGGTGTTTCGTCTCACTATTCCATCGATCACGTACTTAAATAGGATTGGATAAAGTTGGAGGTACAGTCCGGAAACCAATTTGTGTACATGCACTTTTAAATAGCTCTCCGTATGCTCTCACGTGCCGTATGTCTGAGAACACAAGTTGTGGAACGAGTACAATTAAGGGGAGCAGCGCGGTCAATAGAGTCAAACGCAGATCGAAAATCCAGCAGTAAAATTATGGTTTGGCTTTTCTGGCACCTGACAGGATGTGAAGATTTGGTCAATGCGGCCCCCAACCAAGCCAAAAAATCCCGAACACTAACGGCATCCCATCGTACTTCGCCTAACATGATAAGGCGACTAGGAGTAAGTGATGCCAAGAGTCTCGTTATGTCTGGAGTCAATCTGATCCCTCTGTGATTACCACTAGTGGCGATTCTCCCCAGTCGTCTGTGACAGAACTACGTCAGACAAGCGCTAACTGAGGACTTAATTCCATCCTTGAGCCATTCAAGTGAGATGTCATCCGGACCGCTGTCCTCATCATTGATAGAAACACCAGATAACACTGGTGCTTCACTGCCATACAATCATGTAAATTTACTTGAATAAAATTTTATAAAGGAAAGAAGTGGGACAGCAAGGGGGACATAGGGCTAGCCGACCACAAACATTCGAGGTGCCCACGTCTCCAACACTCAGTCAGACAATGTGGACAGAAAGTGATAGCGTAAACGTCACTGACATCAGTTAGCCGCCACAGCGTTCAATGTCTCTAGCCAAATACAGGCAGGGTCATGTAGACCCAATCCTGTAAGGTGCATTCCGGAACTTTTCATTACCTTCTACTATATCAAATTCTGTCCACTTCTAGGTTTCCTCCACACCGAATTAGGCACGGCAGGCGGTAACTCGGCATGAGTAACACACTGCCCAGCCACAGTAGCTTGCAGTGTTGGATGCATTCTTTAAAAGAAGTACTGTCTGCCAAACAGATAACCCACAAACTGAGCATCTCATTCCGATTCCCCTGATTCCAGAGGATTCCAGCTGCAGCGTTGAGATATGGATAGTCAATGAAAGGACGCAACGGTCGAAGGATTATTATTTACCATTTGGATCCTTTTAAGTAAACGGTTGTAATTTGATTGATAACAACTTGCTCTTGAAAACGACACGTCCGCCATTATTCAGAGGTCGATGAGTTTGGGGATTTCCAACAACAATGCACGGTGGTCCACGATGCATTAAGCAAGTTACGCTATTCATAGGATTGAAAGGTTCTATATATGGCGCATCTGTGTGACTGTGTAAAATATCCAGACTAAACAATTGTACTGCGTTTTTTGCATGATCGATCGTTTGTGTCCTCCCGTAATTCAGGCGGCAGTTTTAAAATGATTAGATTACAGACACGTGACTGTCCTGTCGAGGTGATCTGCCACTTTCATATATGCTTACTGACACTGAAAAGCCCTCGGTATCCGGACAGTTTCACCGAGCTGTTTGTTCTGAAGGACTACACAAACTTGTAAAGAGCAACTGATCAACGAAATGAGCAAACCATTGAGAATCAAACCAGTCAATGAGAATACTCATTTTTCATCAGCACAAAGAGCCACAGATACCCCATCCGTGTCGTTCGCAGCCAAACGGCCGAAAAACGCCAATCAATCCACTGGGGACACGATTAACATTTCCTAGGAGAATACAACATTCCACTATAAATACATCTTGGAAGCACCAAGACAAAAAGCGATCAAGTCAATCAAATCCATCTTTCATATAATAAAGTTTGACGTGGTAATTGGGAGATACAGGAGTGGCAATTCTGGCGCTATTACAGGATGGTGGCGCCCTGATTATAAATGGACTGGTCGAAATTCGTGAGAGATCGGACACGAAGTAATCCAAGAGAGGAAATAACTGACCTGCTGGTACCAAAAGTTTGCTTTGGAACACTGTTCAGCAAACAGAGCCTCGTCAAAGAACGGCACAATGTACAAATTGGCCACGGTGGGAAACATGATGCCAGGAGAGGTGATAGCACGGTTCGACCGCTTAACTCCATCATCTTCAGGTGTGTCCAGCTCCCCGTCAACACCTTCTTGTTTAAGGTCATCATTGGAAAAACAGTCGGATTCAGCGGAATTGGAAAAATCATCAAGATCTTCGTCGTCGTCATCATCACCCGAGAGTTGGTCGCCATCCATCTTGTCGGAATGGTCTATCCGGTTCGTTACTTTTGGTTTCCTAGAGGCTGAATGTTTTGTTGACTGAATCGGTTGTCGGAGGTGCGGGGCGAGGAATTTACGTGCATGGACGTAGGTCTCCAACATGCGTTCGTTATAAAGCATATAACCCATCGGTTCGGAAATAATGATGTCAACAGGTTCCGGCAGTGTGATCTCCTCTATCTTGCCACTGACATCAAACGGAACGAAAGAAAACAACTGAGACGGTGTGATGGAAGGCAAAATATTATCTTGGAGAAAAGCATTGTGGTCGAACATTTTGCACCAGAATAGAAGGCTACTACAAGCAGCCCGGTAACAGGTGAATTCAGATGAGATTCAGATCCATACAAAAGGCCAGCCACAATCATATCAAACTTGTACCTTAACGAAGCAACACAGAGAGGCCGAAAGTTAGCAGATGACTACATTAATGGGGTGCATAATCGAAACTAAGAGCTATATAAAGCAATCGATAGATTCGAATGTGTTAAAAAAGATTTGCCTAAGGAACCACCTGTTTGGCAATGAATACATTCGAAATTGACGCCTTCCAAAAATGTGTATAGAAGAATATCGGTTAGACACAGGCTCTTATAGCATCGTTCGGAACCAAACCTTCACGTAAAAAAACAGTCCGTCTTGAAGGATCTTCCTTGTGAAAACGAGGTGATGTGGATGATGAAGTCTACTGTTCGACAACCTGACAGACTTCTGAAAAATTGGTCTGTCTACTGCCCAGTCCCAGGGATCCAATCAATCAAACCTCAGAACTGTAGGAAGTAATTCGCATTTTCAGTGGATGCCTGATGTAATTTTACGGCAGTAATGCGCCAGTGTTCTACGGTGAGTTTACTACCAGTTAAAATGACAATCCTAAACACCGTCTACCCAAGTTCTTTTAGAATGTCCACGAGTAAGCTACCGTTTTAGTAGCCCACTACGTATTTAGGTATTGCTCGGCGAAGCTAGGATAACTCCCTGAGGCCTCAGAGTGACCCGCAGAAGTGCCCTTTCATCACAATGGGGAATGCTCACGGTAAACTCTGGCTTGTTTGCAAAGGTTTTCTTGAGAATGCAGGTATAACTGCGTTCATGTCATTGATCATCAAGGAAGAGACCTTAGCCCAGGTTGGTCGTATGAGAAGATTTCGTAAATTCTGATGGAGACTTCGTTCAGTGAATGAGGAAAATCTATGCCGAAAAGCACTGTACAACTGTTTCATCCTTATTGGAAATCAGCAGCAGCGCGCCCCTCACAATACTGCAGGGGGTCCTGAAACAGCGAACTCCCGCTGGTATTTTGAAAACTCAACCATTCACAGCGCTGATTAGCCGCTGGTGGTCAAACCGTTCAGAACACCAGCCGAAATGGCGTTGTTTCCACACTCCCTGAAGATAGGCACTGCTGATGATTCCTAATAAGGATGAAATAGCTGTCCAATGTTTCTCGGTTTGTTTCAGCATTTACTTTCACCAGCTTCACGTACAGAACGAAACCTTAGCCTACGTTTCCTAGATTGTAGCGGCTTCTGGTACTGGAGTTCAAGTTTCTTAAACAACTCAAGTATGCCCGAAACGGTAACCATAATGATCCATACACGTACTTTCAACATCGTTTCCCGACGATATTGCAGCCTTTGTTTAAAAGCTCAACCTTAACTGAGTCCTGTCCCATTAAACAGTCAGTTCAGTTGTAAACCGGGTATCGAGACAATAAGGTCAGTTACTAGTTTCGCTTATGAAGAGGGTAAGAATCATTCTCAAGCACGGGAGTAGTGTACGACCTGTCTTTGACACATCACATCGGCGCAGTAAATGTCGGAGGTTGGCAGACGCTGCTCTGTGCTTCCCGAGTTGGGAAGTGATACCGTTTTTCGGCAGTCCACCGGGACTTATCCAGCTTATCATTGTCAGCTGTAATAACCGCTTACTCGTCGTACAGTGGTTGTAGCTGCCGCAGTTTCGCTCACCGATGATTGGGGGGGGGGAGGGGGGGGTAGGTAGCTGTGCATTGCAGGCAAGAGATGGATAAATTGGGCATAAATCTAGCACTGCCAGTGGGCTTTCAAGTGGGGGGATTGGAAAGGTAGCCATGCATTTAAGGCAATAGCTTGGGTGCACGAGCGCCATTGAGGGCGCGACTGAGCCATGTCTGACAATGTCTCCAACCATTGATGTGACCCGTCTTAGGGTCCCTATCCAGGAAAACGGCAATGACCAACGCAGCTGAGCTTGCTGGTAATGGCTCCCATACTTCGCTGTCAAGTCATTGTTTGACCGTCTCGGGCTCGTTTCCACCCTTCATATGGTTCTACAAAAAGAGGTCTTCGAGGAAACCGGTCGACTGGCATACACAGCACGTGGCTAAGCCAGCACAACCTATGCAGTGTGACCAGTTCATCTAATGAGACTGAGTTATTTCTTTCGAATACCATTCGACGTATTTCAGAATTGCTGATCCGGTGTTCCCACCAGGCTCGGACAATGCTCCGAAGACGTCGATGGCATCCTCAGACATCCTCAGCGCGCAGCGGCCAGGTTTCTTTCCTGTATAGTAATATGGAGCACACCACAGCATTGTAAACTCGATCTTCGACGGTTAAGGTGATGTTACACCTACGCAAAGTGGCGCACCTTCGATGTCATAGCTAACAGGCTGATGCCACGGTGGTTTAAACACGGCGTTCGCGTGCCTTCTTGAAGAAAGGAATAACTGCCGACGCCCCATTCTGTAGGTGTTTTCTCTTCACTCCATATCGCACCAATAAGCTTTATCGAATGGGTCCCCAGGGATTCTACGCATTCTTTGAAGAAAGCTGGATACAGGCCATCCGTCCCTGGTGTTTTGTCAAGTCTCAGTACGAATATTTCGTACTTTATTTCTTCTTCCAACAGGCGACCAAGGTTTATAATACAATCGCCCGTACGCACTATCTCCTCAGGCTGTGTTACAGGAGGCCAGCTGAATTGCTCTTCGAAGTCTTTGGTCCATATTTCCAGTCGACGTTTTTGCGAATGAATTAATGAGCCATCTTTTTTACCTATCGTTTCGCTGACCGTTGCTTTCCTAGATCCAGTCGATCGTATCAATTAATATAGGGCACGGCTGTTTTCCGAAACAAAAGCCTTCTCCAGCTCCCGAGCTTTCGATGTCCACCATAGCTTTGTCCTTCCTTAGACTCTTCAATATTTGGCGTTTGAGGTATTTGCATGCGCCGTCATACTCGTTGCCTGCTGGTATGGATTTCCTGGTACCAATCGTGGATAGCGATCTCGACAACATCCAATGGTCAGATTAGAGAAGTCGGACAGACAGCACTGGACGCCACTAACATAACTCTGTTCACATTTTGCCACGCTTCGTCCACATGCTCACTGCCGCCGCACTATTGGTTTACTGTGGAGACCTGTTGGGCTAGCTCAGATCGATATTGTTGAGCCATGATGGTTCTTCGAAGATAGTGGGTTGATACGCTTCTTGCTGAATTGCGAGGGCCTGAACGGAAACGAACTGTCAGGTGTGCACGCACGATGGCGTGGTTAGAATCAAGTGGTGTGTCTCAAAAGGAACGGCAGTCTTAAATTATGGCTCCCCACCGGTGGCTGATGGCCACACAGTCTAGCTGAGTCCATGGTTGATTTACGGTTGATAGCTGCCAGGTTAAGTGATCCAAACGTCTAAGTTGAAAGTTCGTACTTCCCCGAAACAGTTCATGATCAGCACACAACTGAAGCAATCGATCTCCACTGTCTGTTCGGCGAGCATCGACTCCGAACCGACCACCCAAATGTGATTTCAGTGAGCTCAGACGACCTAGTTGAGCATTCAAATCGGCTGCAAGAATCACAATGTCAATGCATTTTGCTTGACGAACGAGCCCGGATAGCTCTCAATAGAAAGTATCCTTCTCGGCATCAGTCCTTTGGGGTATAAGCCGACACTACGAACAGGCACCACTTTCTATGCCGAGAGGCATCGAGTTGAGCTGGGAGGGTGGACGGCGCAAAGACGACTGTTCACTGAGATCCAATCCGGCAGAGCTCATTCGGCTTTGGGGCTGAGTGCAACTCCCACACCATTCATTCCACGAGAAATCGCTTCTGGGTCACCGGAGACAAGGAAGAAGAAATGTGAAACATCTGAGCTCATCCTTGGCGTCCTGATATGCGTAACCAGACTTGGATCTTGTGTGCGTGTTTCGGAGACAGTATACATCAATTTTGAGGGAGTATAAGGTTTCAACAAGCAATGCCTGTGTGCCCATTTGACAGAGTGCGGACTTTAAAAGCTCCGATATAGAAAGTTTCGTGGAGTTAGAAGTGTTATTTTGCTTATTGTTCATAGGCAGCGAGGAGCATAAGGCCCTTCGGTCGGATACCTGACAGTCAAATGACGCAGCGACGTATGCTTGTGTGGTGGGAAGGGGTTGCGGAGGGACATCGGTGGACATCGAGCTGCGCGGGCAAATGATACAACCCGGTCGCCCAGGCCGACGAAGGGGCTTTGGCTGAAGTACCACACCGTGAGTCTTTGACTCGAAAGTCTGACCCATAAGGCAGTTGAACGATGTAGGGTTTTCTTTGAGGACCATGCTTGGAGCCGATGACTCAATAGTCTGACCTGCTCGGTTGGCCTAATCCGAGGGCGCAGGTAGTAAGCCATTACTGTCTCGTTCTTGATGGGGCTGCGCACAGTGGATGCCTTTTGAGCAGCACCGAAATATGGTTTTGAAAGTATTTCGACCGTAATACGCTGGCGGTCACGGTCAACTGTTGGGCCATCGGAGTGTGAAGTTTTCAGGGCCGATCTTTTCTAACCTGTCCCTCTCCGGGGGAAGGCAGCATTACTGTTTCCATAAATATGGATATGCTGGTCACCTGAAGGACACACCTTACCGCTTTGGCCTTCCTGGTTTCACCTAGTGGAATGAAGTTCCTGCCAGTAAAGCCCACGAAATCATTGCAGCACTTAAGCCCGACCACCACGTCAAGGTGGCAGCCTTAGGCCGGGACTCAGGTACATAAATTTGTCCAGCACGTCGACCGGTTCATCTACACGCACGCGGTTTGGATTTGATTCCGCCAACTCCTGAAGCAGTATTTCATGCGCTGCAAGTGTTCAGTGCGTACCTAACTGTGCTACAGAACCATTTCGGTAGCTTAATGTACTCCATACTCCTAAAAGTTCTGATCTAACCAAACAATATCGTCACCGTATTTAATGTATGCAAGAGAACGTCCTAGTCGCAGTTCGAACACGATGTGTTTGGGGCAGGTAAAAACGATCCAATCGGCGCGTCGATTATAACGTTGAAGAACGTCAGGGCACGGCGACACATCTCCGACTGATCATTTTACCTGTGAAAGGCCTCGAAATAACGGCTATGCCTCAACCTATTTCCCGGCGCGACCCTCAGAGGTTGGCGTTTTCAACAGAACGTCCAAAGTATAGTGTATTAAACACTAACAACAAGTCTAAAAAATCCGAGAACAGTGCGTCAGCTTATAAAAACATTCTGGACATTCGGATGCCCTCTGGACGCGCCGTTGGCAACCTGTATTCAGGGGATGCTTCGTTGACTGTTGGGCCCATGTTTTCTGACAACCAGAGCTAACCTTCATGTTAAATCACCCAATGGCCCGATATTTTGACCAACCACGAGCGAAATAGGCTTATTGGCAGCCGCACTGCATAACTGCTAGCGGTGAGACGGTCTCCATGTACGATTTCGTCTAACATGCCTAGACGCAATAAGCCCCTTGAAAGAAACCCTTCTCCGGAGAGAGGCACCTTCCATTATTGCATCAAACGCCCACTTCCTCGTGATATCTCTTATTCTGAGAGAAGCGACGTGGCTATCAAGGGACCTGGACCAGTTCATCTGGATACACAACCACACAACCGAACTCTTGTCGCGTTATTCGCCTATTGGTACCTTGAGATATTCTCAGCATTGACTACGACAGATGGACTAACAGCATTCAACCCACGCTCCAATTACATCCCATGATTCATCGCAGTAAACACAAGTGCTGAGACTGGCTCAGTTGATATGAACATGAGTCAGTTCAAGGAACGTAACCAAAATGCTTAAAACTTTCCTTCGGTAACGTCATCAAGAGTATTACGCCAGGAAGGAATATTTAGAGATTCCTGGCATTGTGTCCACTAGAACAATATGCAGTCTTCGCACATGTTCTGTTGAAGAATGTCATAAGCGAGAGATTCAGATATCTTCTGCTAAAACCAACTTTATTTGCTGACGGGTGTATTCTTCCAACAGTAGGACCAGTTCAGAGTACCAGTCACCATCATAAACGAGAGATTCAGCTGGGTTCCAGGTTGTCCCGCAAAACCAAATTTGTTCGCAAATTTAAGTCGTTTTCTCACCAGGCATCCGCGAGCAAAACCTACGGCAACATGTTAAGTGGTTGTCGTCCACATGAAGTCATTTGCTCAATCGGATTGTTCTGGTGTTCAAAAACAGGCAGTGTTGGTCGCGTCATAGCACGCGCTGTTGAATAAGACTATTTCTAGTTGGTCGTTCCTTCACGCGGGACGTTACCTCTTAAAAAGACTGAATAATATAAAATCAGGACAGATAGAAAACCACCTCCCATATGAAGACTGCACTCTGACTTTCAAAACAAGGAACCTTTGCATAGCGAACGTACCTGATCACCACTATTCTTCCGGCCAATTTGTTCGCCTGAACCAGAGTATTACAGTGTCCGGCCATGTTAGACGCCTCTACAGCATACACTCTGGCAGCACCGGCATGAATTGCGAAAAAGCTGAGTATACCCGACCCGGCGCCGACGTCCAAAACAACCTTCCCTTGGAAATCGACGGATGAGTTAGCCAATATTGCGCGCTGATATGTGGAAGTTCGGATGAAGTCCTTGAGAACAGCGAAAGAACGGATGGTGTTTCACGACGTGGATTTTACACCCAAAATGTGGAAATAACCAGGAAAATTAGACACCAGAACCAAAAAAATAAGTTGCAAAACCGAAACCATCCACCACCCTTAAAGGATTGACACCAAACGCTTAACATCAAGAATTGCAGATGACTGTGGGTGATACAATGGGTTTCGTGGTCGGGGAGGATTTAGTGATTACCTTGAATTTCAAAACTTTTGCACCACTCGCGTTTGAAAAACACTTTCATGGGTAACAAAGTATCTTACCGACTGGCTTCTTCGTAGGAGTGATTATTAAGAATGGTGTTTAAATCTCAAAAGCAACCGGGTGCTTCAGGTTAGTGCGATGTCTGTTCGTTTGAGGGAAACGTGCGCAGGGAAAACTGGAGCCTGATTGTCTGTTAAAGACAGGGTGTGATCCACTGTTTTATGGATCAGAAACATGGCCCCTACGCGCAGAGGACATACAAAAGTTGTCGGTTTGACCACCGGCATCTTCGTGAAGTGAGCTGAGGCATTACCGTCATTAGTCAGTGCTTCTCTGCATTTTGGAAAAGGATACTGTTCCAGACAGATTAGAACAATCGATGACGGTGCCCATTTTCGAAAAAGAACTCGTAGTGAGTGCGGTAGTCACAAAGGATCAGCTTGACCTCGGTCGTAACGAGACCCTTAAGGTCACTTCTCCTTCGTCGCCTAATGGTGGATCGAGGGCAGCAAACAGAATTCCCAAACGGCAGGAGTCGTGTTGACTAAATATCCACAGTCCGTCAGGTGCTAGAACAGTGTCATACGTAAAAACGACCCTCAGTATTAGTGGATTTCCAAGGCGCATTCGGCTCGGTTGACCGGAAGGCTTCCAAACTTGCCCAGCAGGTAGTGCCCCCAGAAGTTTGTGGACACAATAAGTTCTTCGCATTCCCAGACGCCTGGGCGCGCCACGGTGCATGAGGGGCTCACCAAAATCTTCCGTGTCCGACAAGGACACTTACTCTCTTCATTCCTATTCACTTTTGTGATCGACGAGGTAATGTGAGGAAGGATGGATGGTTTCCGAAGCCCTAGTGTTCAAATACACATCATTCTTGTCTTCGAATAGGAGAGGGCACAGGTTTTTTGGGTGAGTTAACCAAAGCCATCCGGTCCTTTGGTATGCACTTTGCACTCGCAAAGGTCCTGGATATACAGTTACTGAACACGCCACCTGCAATCCAGAGAGAAGCACCCGAAGTTACGGAGCGTTTTACATATTTTGGAAGTTGGTTTGGTTCCAACTGTGGTGTGATAGATGAGGTTGGTGCACGAATCGCCAAGGCTCGTATCTAGTTTACTAATTTGAGACACCTACGGAATCAAAGGCTGTGAAAACTGACCACTTCGAACAGCTGGACTGAGACGTCTTCGAGGCTTCTACAACCCCTGTCTCAGAACCATAGCTGATGTCGGCCAACGTCGCTGAATTTGTAACGAGGCAGTTAGAAACTGAGTATTTGGTTGTGCAACTAGGGCTTCTATCGAAGAATTCCAGCAACAGAAGCTCCGGTGATTAAGCCATGTGTTGTGCACGCCGTACTATCGTTTTCCGGAGAGCGCTATCTTCCGTGCCTAGTTTGGAGCTGCAGAAGCAGACAGGCAGTTAATCTTTGACCACCAACATCAAATGTGGTGGCTCGGTCATGTGCTAGGCGTACCGAAACACCGTCTTCCGAGACGGGTGTTGTTCTGTCTGAGGGTGAAAGAGATGAGATGTTTCGATACACCCTCCATGATGGGGTTAACCTACTGTGCTCGGCTGGAGACATTACAAAAAATAGCCGCTGATGGATGTTAGCGGCGTTTGTACTGTCAGTTCTTTTCCAGGATGTTTCTGAAAGCTTGGAGGTGTATGGACCTCAGAATGCTTACAGTAGATCATCCCGAGGTCCCCTCATGCACCCATTCTTTCCTCTTTATTCTATGGCTTCAAATATAATTGGATAAACTTTGTGGTTGTACGGCAGTAAAGCATCAGTATCTAAACTGACGCTGCTGTCTCTGATGATGATCGACTCATCCCAGTCAGTTGGGACAGAGACTCTTTCACCCAGATTGAGATAAATAAATCACACAAGCACCGATCGGGGTTTTCACATTCATCTTTGAACACAGCGCATGGGAGTTCACCAAGACAAGCAGCTCCGTGACGCTTGAGTGTCAAAAAGCGTTCGCTTGTTACTGACGCCGTCGGGGGTTACATGTTTATTATCCACATTTCTGTTGAAGCCCAGAACTCCAGTACGCAGATGGCACGTGGCCAACTGAATTGTTGTTCAAAGTACTGCGTCCAGTGATTCAAAAATTCTCCTACGCTGTAAATCAAAGAGCCATTCTTGTCTCTGATAGTTTCGCCGACAAGATGCATCAGAGTACCAGCCGAACGAATCAAGTGCAACAGCCTGCGGATGGTTCCATATTTTGGCTGTATCGTTTCCTCAGCCTTCCCAGTTCACTCTGCTTCGCGGTCTACGTGGATACCCAGTTTTGCCGGGTGTCGGGTTGAGTTGTGAAAGTGACCGGGAAGAATCCATCCCCGAGCCTCCAGCAAAGGCACGGTCCGATGAGAGATCCATTGTCTGGACGAGTTCGGCTGCGTTGTACCGCAAAGGGAAGTTCCTGCCCTGAGTAGCACTATGGATATCTGTTCCCAGTGATCGTTACCCTCTAACATCGGGCCATCTGGCAAGCAATCGAAGAGCCGGTCCTTCAAGTTTCGTTTGATTTCTGGGTCCACTAACCTCTCAGTGGCTAGGCGAGGTATGAGTTTTGCGTGGACCTGAAAAGCGAAACAAAGAGCAGCACAGCACTAATGCATCATCGGAGTCTACGCTGGTATTCCAGGGGAGGCAGGCAGCGATCGATCCACGCCACTGATATCTGATGGTGATGTGGTCTATTTGGATTCGGGGCTGGTTCGTTGGTGAGTGCCACGTAGTCAAGCGATTCACGCTGTTCCAGATGTTGGTATTGCAAAAGAACAGCCTGTGATCCGCACACACCTGAAGCAGGCAATCTCTACTGTCCGTGTCTCATCCAATACGAACACCCAATTGAGCCTCAGCAGCGTTTAGTCTACCTACCTGGGTGTTAGTGTCACCAGCAACCACAACCATGTCTAAGCTTTTAGCCCATAGCAAAAGGGCACCTACAACGTCATAGAAACTGTCTTTAACAGATTCAGAGCTGAGTTATGGCATAAGCAGACACTAAAAAGTGTGATGGACCTCAATTTCTCGAGATTCTCTCACAGACATTGTCAAAACAACTGCGCAGAGGCACCTATCATCGTGTCCAACCAAGTGGAGACGGTCCTGCTCAATGCAATGTCCAACCCATCATATTCAGCTGCAGCGGTCTCTGAATTACCAGAGGTGCGGAGCCGGAACTGGGAAGACGACGAGGCAGTCAACTTAATCACAATACTTGTATCCTGTATCCTTATTTCTGACAAACAGCATACATCAATGCAAAGGGAATCTAGCGTACAAGAGCTACTTGTTATCCTGCTTGCCTCAGTGTGCGAAAATTTAAGGCCACTAAGTAGGCCGGCTTTCGGTGTTAGTGAAGTCGGAGACACAGAAGCTGCAGCCGAGTGTGAAGAAAACGGTCACTCTTAGGGCCCACAGGAAGCACGAGGGCTGGGATACTACCAGGTTGCTCAAGCCTAGACAGGGGAAGTCGAGAGGCAGAGGTCGGGTTCGAGCAGCTAGGCACCGAAAGGCCGTTACAACTGAACGGTTATCTTATCACCCTAGGGCTGGGAGAGTATTCAGATTGGGATAGGATAGGGTAGAAAACAAAGTACGTTGTGTAAGAAGAGAGTAAGAAAGACGTGTCCGTATTAGTGTCCATTAGTAAAAGGAGAGCTCGAAGAGCGCGTGAAAATCATAAAAATTAGCTCCACTCCCATTGTAACCAGAATCTGCGTCATCTCACAAAGGGGAACGAAGACGGGACCTGAGACCAGCAAGCAAGATTCCGACGAGGAAAGTTGCGTGGACTGCATGTTCATACTCCATCAAGTGTTAGAGCGACAGCATGTATAAAGGAGCCCGTTGTGTTCCTTGCCCCTTGCCGTTTCGTGTCCTATACGAAGTGAGGACGGAAAATATTACAGAAAGTTTGGATGCTGAGGTCGGGGTGACTCTCCTTGTGCTTGACTAGAGACACTAAACGGTATGGCAGCTGAATGGTGTTGGTGGCATTCAACACGTCCGACTCTATCCAGATTGTCTGACTGATTGTTGATGTAGACACCTCAGATGTTTATGTTAGGCTAGCCCAGGGTCCCCACCTTGGTGCATCACTATTCTTCTTCCGTCATAGGCTCCATTCAAATAGTTGTTGCTGCGGCAGTGAAACATTAGTGATCTCTTCTGGTGTCGCTGCCAGTGAAGATTATGCTGATGGATGACAGAAGCGCAATCTGAAAAAAAACTACCATAGGCAGTAAATCAGAACAGTCTCTAGTGATCTGAACCAGGAGAATCACTTCATCAATACCAGATATCAGCGGCCATGCCACCTGAAGGAAGCACGAGGGCTGGAATGCTGCCAAGTTGCCCAATCCTAGAGACGACTAATCGAGATGCAGAGGTAAGGTTCAAATAACGGACCCTGCGGTCAGTAAATGCGCGCTCTAACCCCGATCTGTAGGACTAGGAGACTTCTATCAGACCAACCTGCTATGAGAAGCAGTGTGGGGGTCCAGGTGAAAATCCTTAGTATAGTTCAGTAGCTCAAGGAAATACACAAACCGCCACGTAGCGACAAGGTCGCCTTTTAGTGAACCTCATCGAACACTGGTCAAGCACACAATGACAAGTAAGTGTGAGTTGGGAACTCCCGCTAAGAACTGACGGCAAGATCGTGAGATCAACCAGGTACCATGTGTGGTAAGGTTTCTCACCATGCATGAAAATCACGTGGACGCCAACGCGGATGGTTTGAAGATCACAGTGCTCAATCTGAAGGTGACAGTCTTCATTCCGCGTCGTCACGTCACGGCCAACTACCGGAAAACCTTTTTCTAACATGGAGTTGAAGTGAAAACAGGGCCCACTTTGATAGGTGTTGGTTGGACACACGCAACATTCCCCAAAAATCTTACCAAGGCATGCATAACCTGCTACTCGAGCGAATCGGACCCAACCATCTACACCCTTAAGGAAAGTTTCAGTGAGTATATGCTGCGGGCAGTTAGCATCTGCAATACTTTAGGCAGCGGTGATCAAACATAGGAGCGTTTGAGGGACCAAGTTTCACAGGCACACATTAAGAGTGTTCAGTCAGTTGGCATACGGGTCGTTTAGCTTTAGTGATACGCTTCGGAAGCTAAAGACGCAGTACGTGGCAAATGTAGTAAGTTCATGACATTCTATGTGAAACGTGCACCGCAGTCCTGGTCGGTGATCACTTTTCTTCGTACTCCCTGCGGGTGTGAATGAATGATACGGGACGACGCCTATATGTGCTTTATGGATGTTGATATGAATGACGATATGCGAACCGCCCCCACCTGGTTAGCTCTGAGCTCATTGATTGGGGCTCGAACTTACTGATAAGAAGGCTTGGACCAACTGACAGTATCTCGGCCACCGTGATCCCCTCAGGTAACTTGGCAGCTATGCACCAAAGGGTGCTTACAACCGAACCACCATCTGCTTAGTTCGAGATGGCTCAAGTGATTAGAGTGCCAATTCACTGACCGCGAGGTCCGCGGTTCGAACCTGACCTCTGCCCCTCGACTTGCGCTGACTAGACTTGGGCAACCTGGCAGTATCTCAACCCTCGTGCTTCCTTCGAGTGGCATGACAGCTAGGCACCGGAAGGATGGCACAGCGGAGTGATTTAATTTATCTACTTAGTTCAGGACAGACAATTGTCTACTTACCGCTCCATGTGGACCAGTGTTACTTCTATCGTTGTCATCCTAGGATTCCTTCGTTCTCCGCTCTTTTACTGTACCGGAATATAGGATGAGCTATGCGCCTTGGTTATCTTGTGGATTGCTTAAAAGTGTAGCGTATACCTGGTTTCGGTCTTCGAAGAATAATCGTCAACATACGTTTGCATTTCAAAACGTACCCCGGCTTGAAATTTGCGTTTTTATAGCGCGCCACCTGCTTGCAGCTAGTTCGACGCTACACGCACCCATTTATCCATACTTGCCGGCTGAATGCATACGGTATTACGTTGCGTGCATTCCCAAAAATCAGTACACGCTCTGTTCGTATAGTTCGATTGCTGTTCCGCGTTACGATTGGTGTGGCGTACTTAGATGGTCAAACCATGATACTGTTTGAACCGAGAACAGGACTAGAAAGCCACAAGTGTCTTGCGGAAGTATGGTTACGCTTGCTATAATGTTTTTTAGTCTTTGTTCCCAATCTCGGTCGGTCCATCACATTCGCCGTCCCTTTCCGCAACCTCTTCGTCACTACTGGCATAATACTCGTTTTCATGAAGCCCTGGTCGGGGAAAAAACAGGACAAATCTCAAGCTTGATTGTTACAAAAAGGGGGATCTGAAAAAGTTCGAAAACATTTACCAACCTGCATCATGTTCTGCTGCTGGCTCAAATAGCTGTAGAACTGAAAATACTGAACGGCTGACCAGGAATCAGTCCTTTTATCGAAAGATGAGACGCCCAAGTCAACCACGGCACCTGAAACATCGGAATCACTTGATTTTGCACAACTCTGCGCAATAAAGACGAGCGTCAACAAACCATGAACTTCAATATGTCCTTGAGGGAATCGAACCCAACAAAATAAGATGTTGGCGCCTTTGCATACTTCTCCTTTTTCACGGTGACAGAGGCTACTTTCAGAGAGACCCGAGAAATAAATACATTCGACCCGAGAGAAATCTCTTTGAGTACCTCAGATTGTCTAACAAGTTTGCAGGCAAAATTCATCTTACCTGAAGAACACTAGTTTGGAGCTATCAACGTTAAGTGTGAGAATGGTTCCCAAAGTCCGACAAGTGAATGACGACTCATCGAACAACCGCAGCTCTACGTTGTCGAAGCTCGTCATGATCGGAATCCGCGTTCGGCAATTTGCGCGGGCAGACGTGCAGTTCCGAATCCCGAACTCTCATTGGTCGGAATAGTGCGAAGTCGAACATGGAATAAGGCTCAACCGACCCAGTCTTCGCAAGCTGACTGACATTTGAGGACAGCTTACGTGCACGCTGAAGTGGTGGAGTGAAGTGGTTTGTAACAAATTTATGGGGAACAGCAGTAATGTCGTGAATTCGAATAAGCATGACCCTGACAAAACATTTCCTTTCTGATTCCACTTGTAAATATCAATATTTGGGTTGTCCATAAAGTGGAAAACGTTACCTAACCCTCAGTTATCAACCTCATCATCTTCTATCATCAGAAAATTTTTATTAATAACATGTCACTCTGTGATACGCAGCGGTGTTTCCGTAGGACACGTTAACCTGAATTACCACCCCAATCACGCTCCTAGAAGGTTACTGGGTAAAAGTTTCAAAAATATCCGTTGCTTTTTCCATTTAGACATTTGGGATACTACAGTTTTTCAACGGCCGTGCCGACTGTTTTGTGTGAACCAATCAGTGTTTTGCTCAAGCCCGAAGCAGATACCCCAGATACATCGGTACTGGTTGAGTGACGCGGGTAGTAGCTTCATCAAAACGTGCAAAGACCTTGGCGCGGACTAAAATTTCCAGACATAATTAACATTCCCAATATACGTGTCGTCCAATGGCACATGTTGCATTGGCTCTGTAGTTGAGTTCAACGTTCTACAAGGCGCGTAATTCAAAAAATACGATACGCATATGATGGTCGGTCGGTATTCGCACAATGGAACTGAATTTTTTCAGGTTACAACGTCTCTCTAATGGATTAAGGCCATCGGGCAATTGAGTTCAGAGCAACAATCCAAAGATTTGAGCCTCATTTAAGCACCCCGCTGGGAAATTATTCCACCAGACTTTTCCGCCAGAGGTATGACTGCTTGACAGTAAAATTTGGTGAGCTGCAACCATATGGACTATTTTGTTTGGGAGTTATTAGGTGAGTTGGGAAGCAGCATAATCCAGGAGAGAAAGTGGGTTCAAGAGATATGGTCACCAGTCCTTGAAGCACTGATCCTGGACATGCCATCACTGAAACCGCCACTTACCGTCCAAGGAAAGGCATACAAATCGGTGAAGCGTTTTATGTGCATTCGAAGTTGTATTCGTTCTGATCGTAGTTCGACAGCCAAACACTGCCATTGGTCACTGGTTTCGTCTATGGTGCAAAGCTAATGCATTATTGTCAGCTAGGAGCATGTGCACGGGCCCGGCAGTTACCTAAATAGCCTCGGCAGAGTTACGAGTATGACGAACTGTTTTTGGCCATTGGACTTGGCTATTGGGCATGGTTGAGGCATCATACTCGGTGTCGCATATGAACACAGGCGTATTGATTACGATAAATAGCCGAAATGAGTGATATCCACTAAAGTTACGAGTATGACGGGCCGTCGTCACGCATAGTTGGCGCCTGAGTTTTATTGGTCCGCATGGATATTAGCCCTGTGTTTACCATAAGTAGCAGACACAAGCGAGACCGCGCACAGTTATGGCGTGACGGGCCAACCTTCACATTCAGATTAGGACACTGTGCGTACCTGAGGCCTAATGATCAACGTCGCACATAAGCACTCGCATAGCATTTTCAAAAAGTAGTCAAGCTAAGTGATATCGCGTACAGTCATGAGCATGACGTTCGTCTTTCGCCATTAGACTAGATGTGTGTGCTTAGTTTAGGCCTCAAATTCACCGGTTTCCATAAATATCGACCAGCTGTCTATCATAAGTAGAGCAGGTAAGCAACAACGCGTACAGTTAGGAGTACGGCAGATTAGGTTGGATTAGGTTACCGGTTAATCGAACCCGCACATGGACACGAACAAATCAGGCACGATAAGTAGTCAGGTAAGGTGACACCGAGTGTAATGATGATTAGGAAGGGTCGTCCGATTGGGCCATCGCGCATAGCTGATGCTATAATTTTAGTGGCCCACATGGATTCTGGCCTGGTGTTTGCCATTGGTAGCGAAGATAAGTGGCTTCGCCTATAGGTATGGGTATGAAAGGCCATCGTTAACCATTGGCGTAGGTTAGTTTGAATAGGTGAGGCCTCGTAATCAGCGTCGCACATAGATGCGGGCGCAGCGGTTACAATAACCATTTGAGATGAGTTATAACCCGTAGGGTTATGAGTATGAAGGGCCGTCGTTTGTCATAGATGAGGCCCCATTATCAGTATCGCGCACAGACACGGCCACAGTAGCTGGAATAAGTAGCCGAGGTGGGTCACAAAATCTGCCATTATCTTGGCGACCGCTTTATGATGGTCACCACCTATAGAACGTCACGTTGCTACTAGGTATTGCATCATCTAATACGTTGGCAATGAAGTTCCCCACGTTTATTCTGTCCCCTTTTGTAACCCCGGCCCCACTTTTGTGCTTAGTGTGGATATATGGGCTGACGATTGTCTGTCCTTAATATTTCACCCATTTGGCCTTGAGGTCATCCGGCCAATTGTAGCCGACTTTGCACGTCTGACTGTCGCACTTGGGAGCCTGTTTGCTCTCTTGGTTTGTATTTTCGTAGTCCAAGTGGACCGTTTGTTTTGGACGCGTATCTACTGTCGAGGTTCGTATAATTTGTGAATTTGTCTCACATTAATAGTACCGTATAGAAACTCAGCTCCGGCTTTGTTTCGCCTGCCCGGAGGTTCTGGTATTGCGCGCCACTCGAAGATGCCGTTCGCCCGTTACAGATATGATATCATTGTGTTGGTAGTTTAACTGCAGCTATCTCGTTACGCTGTATTTTCTACAGACTAGCTATGCATATCTACATGGATGGCTCAGGCGTGTGCCTGTACGGTTCATGTTGTTGTCTTTAATGTTTTACCTAATGGAAACTCAGGCCTCAAATTAAAAAGCTTGTGACGGAGCTTGCCGGGCAAAATCATTTCATCAGTTAATTCTGAGGAGTGTAAAGCGAACAAAAATCAACGTTCGATTTTCCTGGGTAGAAAATACATTCAATATTCTTTAGATGTCTTTTATTTCTAATGTACACCTAAGAACGCCAAAACGTACTCAAGTATGATTTCTCGCTTGATCTCGCGTAAACCAAATACAAAATGCGGCTCGGTGATGATCCTTAAACTTATAATTCTTCTCACTCTAACAAAATGCCATGAGCAACACCTCAATAAAAAGTGCACATGGGACAGAATAACTCCTCGTATAAATCACAAAATCCGGCACCTTATAATATCGGCAGAAATAATTTTGTTGTGCTTCTAGTGAGCGGCGCATAAGATATATGCACGGGCCAGCGTTCTTATTGGTTAGCTGTGCATTGGCGAGGCAGTTGGACGGTTCACACTGCTTTTAAGCTCAATCCCGTTGCTACTAGGTATTGCATCATCTAATACGTTGGCAATGAAGTTCCCCACGTTTATTCTGTCCCCTTTTGTAACCCCGGCCCCACTTTTGTGCTTAGTGTGGATATATGGACTGACGATTGTCTGTCCTTAATATTTCACCCATTTGGCCTTGAGGTCATCCGGCCAATTGTAGCCGACTTTGCACGTCTGACTGTCGCACTTGGGAGCCTGTTTGCTCTCTTGGTTTGTATTTTCGTAGTCCAAGTGGACCGTTTGTTTTGGACGCGTATCTACTGTCGAGGTTCGTATAATTTGTGAATTTGTCTCACATTAATAGTACCGTATAGAAACTCAGCTCCGGCTTTGTTTCGCCTGCCCGGAGGTTCTGGTATTGCGCGCCACTCGAAGATGCCGTTCGCCCGTTACAGATATGATATCATTGTGTTGGTAGTTTAACTGCAGCTATCTCGTTACGCTGTATTTTCTACAGACTAGCTATGCATATCTACATGGATGGCTCAGGCGTGTGCCTGTACGGTTCATGTTGTTGTCTTTAATGTTTTACCTAATGGAAACTCAGGCCTCAAATTAAAAAGCTTGTGACGGAGCTTGCCGGGCAAAATCATTTCATCAGTTAATTCTGAGGAGTGTAAAGCGAACAAAAATCAACGTTCGATTTTCCTGGGTAGAAAATACATTCAATATTCTTTAGATGTCTTTTATTTCTAATGTACACCTAAGAACGCCAAAACGTACTCAAGTATGATTTCTCGCTTGATCTCGCGTAAACCAAATACAAAATGCGGCTCGGTGATGATCCTTAAACTTATAATTCTTCTCACTCTAACAAAATGCCATGAGCAACACCTCAATAAAAAGTGCACATGGGACAGAATAACTCCTCGTATAAATCACAAAATCCGGCACCTTATAATATCGGCAGAAATAATTTTGTTGTGCTTCTAGTGAGCGGCGCATAAGATATATGCACGGGCCAGCGTTCTTATTGGTTAGCTGTGCATTGGCGAGGCAGTTGGACGGTTCACACTGCTTTTAAGCTCAATCCAAGAAAAGAACGATTCAAATGTTCAGAGCCCATAAATTGAGGAAAGGTAAACTGCAAGTATTAAAACAATTTAATCAATTTATTCCAGGAAATGTATACTTTTTCGGGTGAAATTTTGAAAATTTGAAGTTTATACAATAAATAAGTAGACTCCGCATGGCGAAACGTACCTTAGGGTGCACTCCTCTCTTTCCTCACATTCTATTGCCTACTCATATCACTTCTTCTAATGAAAGTTTGAGAGGAAATTAACATTTGTGTTTTCGGAAATTTTGACTCAGACTAACTATATTTACATCCAAGACATTTCGCACTCGGAAGTTTAAGTTACTTTCATCTGAATAAGTCCTATTGGGAAAACCAGCTCCGAACGCGATGGGACTATATAACAGCCAAAAAATAACTGTTTTCGATGAGAAAGATTTCATTGGTTGTTCTTCGCTTGTCATTGACAGATGAGTTGTATTCCTAGTATAACTGTTTTACTCGCTTGTACCCGACAATGATCAAGAGATCAGCCGGTCCGCATGTTTTGA